CTTACTGTGATTGCATTTTATTAGAACAGACAGTGGGGATCTCCTATATAATTAGGGTTTGCCTACACTTGAAACATTGCATCACTGCAGTTGCGCAGCTGAAGTTCTTCAGCGTAGACATTACCTATGCCAACAGGAGGAGTTGTCCTGTCAGCGTAGGTAATACATCTCCCTGAGAGGTGGTAGCTAGGTCGACGAGAAAATACTTCTGTTGGCCTAGCGGTGTCAACACCGGAGGTTAGGTCAGCTCAACTGTGTTACTCAGAGGTGTGGATTTTTCACACCCCTGAGCAATGTAGTTGGATCAACTCAATGTTATAGTGTAGACCAGATCTTAGTCACTGAAAAGAGCTTCAGGGAGGAAGGGAGTGTTTCTCACAAGTATCTACAAACAGAGAAGTCAGTATAAATAAAGCTAACACACACGCAATCGATTCACTTAGATATATGCAGTCAGTGGCACTTCCTGGTGTGCTGGGGGATCTTCTTAGTGTGGGGTTCTCCTCAAGGGAACTGGAAGAGCTAGTAGTAAAAATGCAAATTATTTTCCAAGGGAATTTTGAGAAATTTTCTTTTTTTCCCCCTGAAGTTTCCTCCTGTCAAAATTATTTTTTACGTCAAAAAACCAAAATTGATCAAAGACAAAGTTTTAGTTTCCAAATACTGTTTTTGTTAAAATTTTTCAGGTTTTGGTAAAAACAACTGGCATTCAAAACTTGAAGACTGAATATTTTTATCAAAACAGAACAATGTTACCAAAAAAAAATAAATAAATTGTCACAGAAAATTTTGGTGTCTGTTTTTTGTTGAAAAGCCAGAAAATTTGGACCAAAATAAAAATATTTTGTTGTTGCAAAGCAAGCTCATCACAAAAAAAAATATTTTGATGAAAAATATTAAACCAGCTGTAGCAAGTAGCCTGATCAATCAGCTAGTCATCCTGGGAGCACGGTAATGGTCCCATCTCCTATCTGCCCCATAAGTGTGCCTCAGTGGTGCATTACAAGAGCAGACACTTGAGTGCAGAGATTGCGATTGCATCTGACCCTTGCACAGGTCATCAAAAAATAAACTACTAAGAAAGGAGCCCAGTCACTAGAATCTGAGATAGGAACTGACTGCACATGCTTTGAGATCACAAAATGGAAAGTTGTGTGTCATTTTGCCAGGCAACATTTCACCGTTTTTTGTGATGGCTGACATTCCTATTATTAAGTGCATGCACAATTTGGATTTTAGATTCCTAGCTGCAAACCATACATGTAGTTATGGGAATGTAAATGTCTCATGATGAAACAGTGAGATGATTTCTGCTATGAGAAGCAATGTGATCCTCTTCAAAGGGGTCCATATATTTCCTGAAAGACTTCTAAGCCTTTCAGGTGAATTTCTTGTGAGAACAAATGAAATTCATTATTATTGTTGTTTATTACTATTCCATCTGTATTACAATAAAGAATTGGAGGCCCATTGTGCTGGGTGCTGTGCAGACAATAGTAAAAAGGTGATCCCTCCCCTTGTGAGCTCACAATCTAGGATTGTGATAGGATGGACTAGGTGGATAAACAGACAAATGTCAGGTGGGGGACTCAATAATGCAAGTGGAGAAATGAGGAATCCTCAACACTAAACAGGAGTTTCAGTTTGCCACTTGCCTAGTTGCTAAGTAACAGGAAGTATGATCCAGTGCTTAGCATGGGACTTTGAAGACCCAGGGCCAATTCCATGCTCCACTACAAACTTCCTGTGTGACCTTGAGCAAGTCACTTAGTCTCCTTGTATCTCAGTCCCCCAACTGTAAAATGGGGATAATAGCATTTCCCTACCTCACAGGGAGGTGCTCAGATACTACGGAAATGGAGGCCACATAAGTCCTTAGGTAGATTGCCAGCTGGTCAAGTTCTGTAGGCAATGTGCAGAGATAAGTGATAAGGAGGGAATTTGAGGTTGCACTCCCATCTTCATTTTTTGCAAGGGAGACAATATTGGACCTGAACTAATACGTGTAGTTTCTAAGATAAGAGCTTTAGTTGTTACATCCCAGCCAGCTTGTGTGACATCAAAATTTAACATAGAATCATAGAATATCAGGGTTGGAAGGGACCTCAGGAGGTCATCTAGTCCAAACCCCTGCTCAGAGCAGGACCAATCCCCAACTAAATCATCCCAGCCAGGGCTTTGTCAAGCCTGATCTTAAAAACCTCTAAGGAAGGAGATTCCACCACCTCCCTAGGTAACCCATTCCAGTACTTCACCACCCTCCGAGTGAAAAATCCAAATTCATATCCAACCTAAACCTTCCCCACTGCAACTTGAGACCATTACTTCTTGTTCTGTCATCTGCTACCACTGAGAACAGTCTAGATCCATCCTCTTGGAACCCCCTTTCAGGTAGTTGAAAGCAGCTATCAAATCCCCCCTCATTCTTCTCTTCCACAGACTAAACAATCCCAGTTCCCTCAGCCTCTCCTCATAAGTCATGTGTTCCAGTCCCCTAATCATTTTTGTTGCCCTCCACTGGACTCTTTCCAATTTTTCCACATCCTTCTTGTAGTGTGGGGCCCAAAACTGAACACAGTACTCCAGATGAGGCCTCACCAATGCCGAATAGAGGGGAACAATCACGTCCCTCGCTCTGCTGGCAATGCTCCTACTTATACAGCCCAAAATGCTGTTAGCCTTCTTGGCAACAAGGGCACACTGTTGACTCATATCCATATCATGTCCCCCTGTATCCTATCCCTACCCTCCAGCATATTTACCACTCCTCCCAGTTTAGTGTCATCTGCAAATTTACTGAGGGTGCAATCCACACCATCCTCCAGATCATTAATGAAGATATTGAATAAAACCGGCCCCATGACTGACCTTTGGGGCACTCCACTTGTTATCGGCTGCCAACTAGACATGGAGCAAATGATCGCTACCCGTTGAGCCCGATGATCTAGCCAGCTTTCTGTCCACCTTATAGTCCATTCATCCAGCCCATACTTCTTTAACTTGCTGGAAAGAATACTGTGAGAGACCGTATCAAAAGCTTTGCGAAAGTCAAGGAATAACACGTCCACTGCTTTCCCCTCATCCACAGAGCAAGTTATCTCATCATAGAAGGCAATTAAGTTAGTCAGGCATGACTTCCCTTGGTGAATCCATGCTAACTGTTCCTGATCACCTTCCTCTCCTCAAAGTGCTTCAAAATTGATTCCTTGAGGACTTGCTCCATGATTTTTCCAGGGATTGAGGTGAGGCTGACTGGCCTGTAGTTCCCCGGATCCTCCTTCTTCCCTTTTTTAAAGATGGGCACTCCATTATTTGCTTCAGATTCTCAATGGGATTTACGGAAAAATGCTCCAATCAACAATTTGTCCTAAATGAATAGTTACTCTTGCTTTTTTAATATTTTTATTTATATGTTTACTTGTTGCCAAACCTGCTGCTGACTGTCATTTTTTTAAAACAATTTAATTTTGCGTGACCGTTTTCCCCCCACCTAGGGAATGTGCTACTGCTGATATTGAGTAAAATCACAATTTACTTCAGCCACTGAATTTCCAGGACACTATTACCTTGCCCAAAGGTGCCCTGTCTTCCAGCATTGTGCATGCAGCTGAACTCGTTCGTTTTTTCCCCAGCCAAATTCATGCTCTAAATATTGCTGAAAGCTACAAAATTAATTTCCAGCTTGTTATTTTGCTAGACAAACAGATCGTTGTTGCTTTTGCCCTTTCTCTGCACTATGTATGGGAATTGTTGCCAGAATACTCTCTAGTGACACAGCACATTAATCCCAAGGAGAGCAACAACTCCTTATACATATCTTATAGCAAACAAATGAACTCATAAAATTTTTATAGACTGCACACTATGAAAAGTCATTGTATTATAATTTAAAGGTGCTTTTGGCCCACACTCCTCCAGTATATTATTGTATCTCTACATTTGTCAGTTCAGCAAGAGTCTCGCCCTTTAGATTAATCCCTCTGTGACTGAAGATGGAGAGTTGTGATTGCTACCACTAACTGGCTAAGAATTTGCACTTCCTATTATAGTTATTTGTTTACACATCTCCTTCATTCCACCCCAGCCTGCTTGTTGGTATCATCCAGTTGTTGCACCTTGTCTTTTATAAGCTCATTGGGGCAGGGACTGTCCTTTATTATATGTTTGAATAGCACCTTGCACAATGGGACCCAACCTGGTTGTGTTCCTGAAGAGTGATCGTAATGTAAATGTTTAGTAATAAGAAGATGGTGACAGAGATTGTGGGCCAGGTTCTGATGTAAACTGGTTCAGCTCCATTGACTTCTTTATACAAATCTTTGCTGTGCTAAACACCTACAGTCTGATTTTCCACTCCGTAAAACTAGTTTATTTTCAGCATGGCTTCACTACTAAGCCACTATAGTTTCATACTGGTTGTAGAGGTCTGTTTGAACGGGGGATTAATTTGATCTTTAACTGAGTCAGACCTCTTGGGCCAGAGTCCCCAGAATCTATAAACCATCTCTTTCTATTTCTCCCCAGACCCTAACAGGCATTTTAACTAATATGCATATTTAGAGGCCAGTAGTTCTATATGAGAGTGGAAATAGTCCATGTAATTTGTTTGTTTGGTCATGTATGCTTGAATATGTAGCCCAATGCACTTTCCACCCATTCCTGGGAGGTTCTGAATAACGTGTGTGATGCTGTGTTGGTAGATCTGACCCCTCTATTTTCACAACTGGCAAGCAGAATGGGAAGTTGCAGATACATGCATAGCCCAAAAAATGCCATTTTCAGGTGTTCATATGAATGCATAACTATCCCTAGAAAGATCAAGACAGAGATGTTCTAATAACAATAGACTTTTCCTTTCCTGTCCATTCATAGTACGATCCACAAACCCCAGTGTTCTGCTGAGCTGCAAAATATTGTGGCATTAATATCTCTTGCACGTACTTTAGTGATGTAAGTGATCACTGCGGCAATACTAGCTGAGTGCATTTACATGTTTCCAGGGACTACTACATAACCATGGTGAAATGGGCAACTAGCACCAAAGTGGCAGTAAATTGGCTGAACAGGGCACAGAACGTTTCTATCCTGACGCTGTGTGATGCTACCACTGGAGTCTGCACAAAGGTAGGAAAGACACTTAAAAGAAGATTGTTTGACCTTCCGTATTTGTAATCCCCCTGGGGAGAATATCCTTCAGTTCTTTTATCTGAAAGTGGGTCACCGGACACACAGTACTTTATGTATAGATAGAATATAAGAGATGTATACAATATTTACTGTGCAAGGGGTATGGGCTGATTGTGGCCCCGTACAGAAAAGCTAGGCACAATCCAGTTCTAGCTGTACAATATATATGTGTATTTATATATAGGGAGAGAGAATGTAGGTGCATTCTCTGTCACACACACACTCACTCACACACACACCCCTACTATTTTTAACTTGGGTGTCCTTTTTAATATCTGAGCTCAATAGAAATATACATGGTTTGTCTATACATAGTTTTGTACCAATTTAGTTAAATTGCTGCAATTCCCTCATGTGGGCACTTTTATACATACATGAAGACCACTATAGTTTGTTTCAGTACCAACATATAAACAACTTTTAACTGGTATAACTACATCCACACTATGCGGATGCACCAATTTAACTAATTCGGTTTTTGAACTAGTATAGTTAAAGTCAGTGCAAACACTATGTGTAGACAAGGCCCCACACAAAGTTGCTGGGAACAGTGTAACAACAACTAAATTGCTATCTTTCTTTAGGGAGTAATGTATCTGTTGGGTTCCTTTTTCTGTCAGTAGGCTAACATGCCTTCCCATATGCTCACTTGCTTGTTTATCAGAGAGAAACAATAGAGGCCAAAAGAGCAGCCCAAGATTACGTTCTGAAACAGCATGCTTGAACAGTTTCTCGCTGCTTGTTCACCCCTGTTCAAATTCAGTCAAACTGCTTTCTGCACCGATGAACAAAATGTAACCTGTGCAAATTACGCTCTTTAATTATGTCCTTTCATTTTAGAAACATGAAGATGAAAGTGAAGCCTGGCTACACAGACAGGTAACAGTGATCTTCTCTTCGTGATTATATTTTCAAATGTTTTTTCCCCCAAGAGAAAAAGCTTATTTTTGGAACTCCAAGTGGTACTTTGATATCATGATGGTTCATATTATAGAAGGGATTTTCTTAACAGAATATACAAGCTCTTCTTGTTGAAGTAAGGGGCATCTTCACCTAATGTATCTGAGACGCCCTCTTACATAGCAGACCACAGTGGCTAGAAACATAATTCCCAGCATATGTTGAACTTGAATTTAAGGAACCTGAAAAACAAGTATTGGGCGAAATTCACAGAGAGCCAGCACACAGTCTGTCCCCTAGTGAAGTCCCTGATTAAGCCTTATTTTGGGGCTTACATTGTATTTAAGTTGTGTATTGGCCTTTTGCTGGCCCTCCGCACAGGGTAAATTCTACCTATTGCCGTTAAATGATCAAAGGTCAAATTTTCAGAAAGGATCCAAGTGACTTAGGAGTCGTAAGTCCCATTTTCAAAAGTCACTTAAACGTTTAGGAGCCAAAGGGTAAAATTTTCAAAAGCACCTAAGTTCTGTTTTAAAATCAAAGTGACTTAGTGCCTAAGTTACTTTTGAAAATGGTACTTAGGCTCATAAGTCTACACTACGCACCATTTTTGGCAGCATGAAAGGTATGTGTAGCTGCACAAGTCAGTGAAAGGCTCTGGCAGAGGGGAGGCAGCAGGGAAAGGCTGAGCCTTCCCTCATTGCCTCCCCCATTTCAAAGCCTTTCCCCACTGCCTCCCTGCTGCCGAAGTCTTTTCTCATTGACGGAATCTTTACCCTGGCAGGGAAAGGCTCCAGCAGTGGAGAAATGATGGAGTCCTTCCCTGCTGTCAGAGTCCTTACTTTCAGCAGGAGTCTTTTCCTCCAGCAGGAAATAATTATTATTATATGAACGTTATAATGTTCTGTAGATAGCCCTTACCTAGCTCCAGCAAGACACTCATTTCCAGGAAGCAAGGGCAACAATCAAAGTGAGAAATTCATTCTGTAGAGAAAGCAATGGGAAAAGCAGGTACCTCTGAAGGCTGGTTTTCAATGAGTTTCAGTTGTGGTTTATTTACCTATTTCTTGTAAATATAACTTTGTCTCTTAAATTTAACTTTTTTAAATAGGCAAGTGGAATCCAGGGTGAAATCCTGACTATATTGACTTCAGTGGGACCAGGATTTCAAGCCAGGAGTTTTACATAGAGAGAGAGAACTGACAACACCTCCTACTTTGGCTGAACATAGATCTACCCCTGATTTTGTTCCCCTGGGGTTGCACTCTTCACACCAGTCCTCCTATTTCCATAGCTGCCTCAGCTCAGCCTTGGTCCTATAATGAAGAATGTTGTTGTGTGTTACAGTGAGATATTGAAAACCTCATTCAACCTCCCTTGTTCCCATCACCATGGCAAGATGGCCCTAGCAATGGTTCTCTCACAGGTAGTTAGTATGCAGCATCAGTTACATTTTTCAATAACAGCAGTACTCTGGGAACCTTACAAACAAGTTTGGCTTTTTAATCCTTTACGCTCAACCTTCAGTGAGGATTTTGTATTTAGAACCAATGAAGTATAAAAAATGCCTAACTACCTTGGACTTCATTTCTGCTGCACTGCTATTGCCTTCAAGTTCCGAGTGACCATGGTGCGCAGCAGGGATAGAACTCAGAGCCTCATGATTCACAAGCATAGGACCCTTCTGCCTGAGCTAAAGGGGAATCCCTGTCTGGTGTGAGCAGCATGGGGCTAATGGCACTTAGTTGAGCAGTTCTGATTCCATCCAGTGGAGAGCAGGGATACACATAGACATACACATACTATTCGGTTAATCAGAGTATTTATGTCGTGTTCTAATATTGTTGGGGGTGGACCCTCTGGCCTCAGAGATCGACATCGGTATGTTGAACCCAACCTCACAGATCAGTGGGGGAAAAGGAGACTCAAGGAGTGGGGATTCTGGCCCCTGAGCTTCGGGGATGAAATTAGTACGGGAGGGAGGAAGCTGGCTCCCATAGCTCCAAGGATAAGCAGGGATGGGGGTGGTGAGGTAGCTTTCCATGAAAGGGGGATGGTTCTCACTGACATTAAACCACAATACAAACATTTCAGCAAATCCCCCAAATCCACAATCTCACTGAAAGGTGAACTGCAAAGGGTTAAAAAGCCACACTCATCTGTGAGAGTCCCATACCATCGCTGTTACGGAAAGCTGCCATTCTTGGCAAGCAAATAATTTATGGGGCCATCATTCTGGGAATTAGGAATACTGTGTATATCCAACAAAAATGAACATCTCACTGAAAGCCACATGACGAAATTATTCATTGTGGGACCCGGGGTCAACTGGGTCAAGCAGACAAATAGCAGGATTGTCCCGAAGAGGGTAAAGGGAGCGGGGAGGGCATCACAGGAGTTATAGGAGATGGACGGGGTAGTTCAGATTAGCTGTTTCTGTGTGAAACTCCTAGACCCTTTGCCTATAAAATGAACAAGAGCAAATTCATTCAAAACAAAACTATATGTACCAATAAATAAATACACATTGACCCTTACTTAAACCAGCTTTCAAAGCTCCCTGCTTTTCTCCACTCATCTCTATGCAGAATTATTATAATTAGTTAGTATGGTAGCACCTAGAGGCCACAGCTAAGATTGGAGCCCCATTGTCCTAGGCACTGTACACAGAAATAATAGGAGATAGTCTTTGCATCAAAGGATTTGCAGTCTAAAGAGACAAAGGGTGGGAGGGAAAGACAGAGGTGAAGTATCTTACTTGAGGTCACACAGCACATCAGTGGCAAACCAAGGAATGGAACCTCACTTTCTCAAGTCCCGGTCAAGGTCCCTGTCCTCTGGTTCACCCTGCCTCTTAATGAATCAGTAAATTCTTCCTCCCCCAGTTAGCCTTGCTTCCTGAAAATGGGTGCATCCAGAGTTAATTTTACTTTTTATTTTCATCTGCACCATGCTAATTTTTCTTTCAGTGCCAATTTTAGTATTTTTATACTAGACTGTGTGAACTTAAAATGCATTTCCTTCCAGTTCATATTTTCTCTTAAGATAAGATGAAAATATTGCACACATCAGCTTTAACTCAGGCCAGGTTTGTTTTCAAGATCCTTAGTGCTGCTCCATACAATATGAAGATTATATCCCCAAAATCTCTGTCCCAGTGGCCTCTTTTTGTGTGTGTCCATACTGAGTCTCTGCAACACAACTACAGGTTCTTAAAAAAAACCTGACTATATTAAGGGAGTTTTTCCATCAGTAGATACAACAAACAGACCACTCATAACCTCAGAGGAGTACTGATGAAGATCAGTAATCATTTGTCTGATGTATGACTTTTCTCTGTACCTGGAAATAGATTCAAGTAATCTGTTAAACCAGTCTGTACAAAGTCTACTTCCACTGCCAAGAGAAATGCTGCTACAATAGTACAAATTTGTATAAATAGTACAAATTCTGTACCTTTCTTGATTGGTACAGCTCTATTGACTACAATCGAAGTGTGCCAGTTTACACCAGCATAGAATTTGGCCCATGGTGTGATAGTAGTTTGCCAGTGGTTTTTTTAATCTTCTTAGCATAACTCTGGAAATAATCATATAGATTTTCATACTTAAAGTTCTAGAAACTATAAGAAGCAGGTGAGACTTATTTCATGAAATTTTGCCAAGCGAGAGATGGTCGTACTTTTACAATCTTCTAGACAGGTAAGGAAGGAAAAATAAAAGGAAACCTGGCAAGTTAGGCCCAAAATTTAGACTTTGTAAACCTAACACTAATAGAAAGTGAAATACTTAATGAATGATAAGGAGCAAAGTAAAATAAAGCAAGAATGCTGTTGCAGCATTAAAAAAATTAAAAGGATTCATTTGTTGTTAATGCAAATAATTAATCTATAACATTAAAACAATCCGCAGTATGATCAACTTATTATTATTGATCTTGGTTGGTTCTGCTTGGTGTTTTGACATGTGTTAAGAATAAGACCAGAATATCTGCCATGGCAGATGTGTCCATTGGGTGGCTGGTGGAACACACAAGGGGCTTACTGAAAGAATCGCTCCATTGAACAGTACTCAGAGAGGGGGAAACTTATGGGACTTAACAGCATACTGAATATGCAAAGAGTGCCCCAGGATAGACAGGGATGGTGGAGCCTTGTTCATACTCTAAGCAACATCTGATGGCATGGGAAGGAAGGCTTCAGATTCTTCCTAAATTCATTCGATATGCACTTTTGGGAGATTAAATTTTGTACTTTAGTAACCAGCCTTTCTGCCAGTAAGAGCTAGAACAAAGGAGGTGCAACCAGCCGAATGCCATGATATATCGAGCTAATGATTTTTGCCACCCTCAGGGACCATATATATCAAAGTCTTCTGCATTCCCTTGTAGTCTACTACACAACTATCTCCCCCAACAGAAAGGTCCCAGCCGCTCATGGATTCCTACAGCAGAAAAGAAAACAAAACAGTCTTAAGAAAAGAACTAGTTACTGCCCTGCAGTGTTTGATTTCCATGCACAGCACCTTGTCTCTCTCTGACTGAAAGTTGCAATAATGGGATGAAAATCAATCACTAGGTTCACCTGGGAACCTTGAAGCAAAGACAGTTTTAAAAGACCTTCTTTCTTTTTATTCTTTCGCCTCCTCCCTCTTCCCCCTCCCTCCCCCCAGGGTAACTAATTTTGTGAATTAATCATCTGTGAGAAGGTAGGGAAGGAGACAGGACTTAGACTCTGAAGTACAGGTTGGTCATGTTTCTTTAAGAAAATGTATGTGGAATGATACACAGCTCAGTGCAGTTTTTCCAGCTGAGTAAACAAGATTTGCTAGGCACACACTGCTAAGTCTATGTTTATTAAAACGCTTCATTCCGGTTGCCCCCAAACAAACTTCTCTGTAGGCATGTAGGTTTTTTCCGCTTTGCAAATGGGGATTGCCTTTGAAGCCAAGAATGCTGCCTTACTGTCTGTCTCCCTTTAATTCCACAGGAGGCTAGCTGAAAGATGACTGCTTCTCAGGGGATACAAAAACAAGGGTTTTCAGAATTTCAGGGCTCATTTTTCCCTGTTTTGAGGGGGCTGTTTCTTTGTTTTAGGTGGTTGTTAAAAGTCCTCTGTGGACAGTTTTAAAAAACACCAAGAAGCCCAAACTAGTGAAAATTAAACCCGCTCAATTGACATTTACAGAATGAAGAGCCAATCTTTTCCAAAGACGGACGGAAGTTTTTCTTCATCCGAGCCATTCCTCAGGGGGGGCGAGGAAAGTTCTACCATATTGCCATGTCATCGTCACAGGTGAAACAACCATTATTATTCTTTTTCAGTGCTGACTAGAACATTCCATGAACATAAGACCTGTGTTTAGACCCAAGATATATCAAGGTGTCTATGGAGAATTTGAATCCCTCTGTCCATAAGGATGAATACCTTAACTGTGCTAAATGCTAGTAACATTTCAAGCATAGGAGGAACAAGAGTTTCAAGTGATGCAGTTTGCTTAGATTTATAATTAAAAGGTCTTCACATTTCAAGTAACATTCAAAGAATGTCACTTTTGGGTTTTTTTAAAACAAGCTTCTCCTCCATTATTCGTAAATAAGTGGCTCTCTGCACAATCATCTGAGGTTATTATCCAGAACCCATGGGCAGAAGAGGATCACAGGAAAGGACTTCCATCTGTATTCTTTATGCTGGGCCTAATTAATTCCATTATCATCAATTGAGTTATGCCAGAGATTAATCTGATTCAGTATATTTAAGTGTGTCTGCAAATTCATAGCAATACAGTGCTTTGGGGGAATCACAAATTAGTGATTACTTTTAACAAGCATGGAGGAGTCATGAGGGCATCATGTTTTGAGAAATAAAAAGAGAGGTTTTTTAGTTGTGTTCAAGTGTCGTCTTTTCAGAAAAAAGAAAACACACTTTCTTCTTTTTTTTTTTTTGGCAGCCCAATAGCAGCAGTGATAACTTACAGTCCATTACATCTGGTGATTGGGATGTGACAAAGATTTTGGCATATGATGAAAAGAGGCATAAAATGTAAGTAAAGAAGTCGGTGTAAGTAACAAACCAAACAGGCTTTCATCTTTTAGTTCTGGCTCTAGAGTTAGCTAGTCTACAGTAGCCATCTTGAAAGCATCAGAAGTGTGTGTGCATGAACAGCTAGATGTACAGACAGCAGGAGAGGGTTGTCTACATCTGTTCGTGGCTTAATCTCTAGTTTACAATCTAGTGTTTCAATGAAGTCTTGCCTTGGTTTGTTCCCTCCCCTACCACTGACTTTGTGTGTTTAATAATCAATCTCATTTTGATATTTGACACACAGAAAGAAGCCTGGTTTATATATATATACGTGTGTATATGTTTGTGTGTGTGTTGCTATGTTTCGTCATCAACAACATTTGATTCAAAATTTGAAGAGAGAGTTCTGTGTTCTGTGTTGGATGGCTTTGCTCTGTTAGTCCTCCTAGTCTTGGAAAAAATTCTGTTTGACACACATGAAAACTATTGTAATGAACAAACATTTTTGCTCAGTAAACTGCCATCTTGTTTTTACAGTTTCCCTCATTTTCACCTTGATCCTTTGTTAGTGATGTTCCAGTTCTTGGTGTGCTTCCCATTGTCCTAAATCTCAGCAAAATGTCATAGAAGAGAGCACTCTGAAAGGGTTTCCAGTTCACAATGTATGGAGTTGCTCTTTCAGGCAAAGTTTCAGTGAGATGCAAGATGCTGAATTCTAGACTTCTTAAATTTAAAATGATCTATTATCTCCAGCACTATCCCTCGTTGGCACTAAATAGCTGAGTCAAAAGGCATTAGCCCATCCCAAACACTGAATGATAATTAAGGGCCCAATTCTGGAAGGAGCTAAAAATGCCCACAGTTTCTGTTGACTTCAGTGTGAGCTGAGGGCTAAGCTGGCATAATTACTCACATTGCAATTTTAACAGTATGTGATATTTGTGGTTTGACTGCCCAATGTGCGAAATCTACATATCCAGGTGAGCCCAGTTTATAGGAAATAGACCTGCTGGATTGGGTACGCCAGCCATTATGTTATTCAGTCCTCCCCTCCCACCCCCCACTAAAACAATATCTTCTCCTGTGGGTCATCACCACCCTTGTAAAGCTTATGGCCTTTGGCCCCCATGGAGATATCAACCTTGACTTTGCACTCTGAGTTGAAGTTGGCCACCCCTTGCAGATCCAGCTAATTCACGGACTGAAACAGTAATGATGACCTCAGAAAGCTGGTGCTTTCATTACTTATCACACAGAAATGGAGCTGGCTAGAGTGTCTCTGTGAAGGGCCTGTCTACACTGGCAATTTACAGTGCTGCAAGTTTCTCGCTCAGTTGTGTGAAAAAACACACCCCTGAGTGCAGCAAGTTTCAGCGCTGTAAAGCGTCAATGTAAACAGCTGCGCTCCCAGCGCTGGTAGTTACCCCTCTCGTGGAGGTGGTATTTTTTAGAGTGCTGGGAGAGCTCTTTCCCAGCACTCTGCCGGGACTACACAAGCCATGTTAAAGTGCTTGTGTTGCCAGTGTAGACTAACCCTTAGACAATGACATTCTTCTCAAGTCAAGGCTATATCTTCCCTAACGGTTGGAATCCCCTCTTCAAGCTGAGGCTCTCAATGGGTTTTTCAGGTGCCTGAAGCCACACAGCTGTTCAAAGAATCATAAGTGATCAAATGTCTTGGGAAGAGGGGTGGGTTGCTTTTTTAAAATCTCTAGATAAAAAAAAATCTATTTAAAGGTACGGTGCACTGTAAAGCTTTATACCTTGTTGGGGTAACTTTTCTGTGGTGAAAAAAGAGGTCAAGTTTTCTTGCTTCATATCACTTAAGACCACTTTTATTTTGTATAGTATGTATTCCTCACATATTACACATATTATTATTTTAACACACTGACTTAATGCATACTTCTTTACAAGCAATTACAATATTATGTATAATATATAGAGGTAACAAAGCTTCCTTAATGAGTCCTTGGTTTTGCTTATTCAGTGGATGCAGTAATTTTGCTGCTATCTTCTATTGAAATGCTTGGTCATGTTCCCACAGCATTTCTATATCAGCTTGGTTTCTGAGAGACACACCAATTTTAAACAGTCCGCTTCCTCTGGCAATTCTATTAAGTTTCTTTTGGTGTACTTGCCCTCCCACTTGGCAGTCTTATGCATTCTAAAGTGTACATTTTTGTTTAGAAACTTTTTTCAACAGTTTTAAACTATATATTGCACTAAATTTTAGTAGGCATAATTCTTTAGGTAGACCTACAGACCTGTAAAATGTAATAACACTGACACATACATAAAATGAACATTTTTGTACAATATTTCCTTAATAGGTCTTAACCCTAAACCCATTGGACCTGTTTTTAGTCTAAGACATTTTAATCTTTTTTTTTTCTTACAAAACTCCACCATATAGTTTTTGTTTTTACTCTCTTAGTAAAATGTATTTTATACCACAGATAAACAGAACTTCTGAATAGGATTTCTATAGTTGGAGGTTTTGTCATGTTTTTGAATGGCCACTGCACCATTCACAGTAGCTCTTTTATTCATAATTAATAACTTGTTAAAAGAAAAGAGAACTTGGATGGCACTTTCAAATAGGTTTTTGGTGATTGGGCTTCACTACTTATATTTACTGCAACACCCTCCAACTATTTAATTGCCCCAAAACTTTGCAGTGTTCATTTGTGCAAAAGATACTTTTAACTTCACAGTCTGTCCTTAAATCACTTACTTATTTTCCAAAGTGACACATTTCTCAGCTGAATTCTTTCAGCGGCTCTAAACTTATTTTTTAATATTTTTTCCCACTTGTTTCTTAATGTAGTACACTTTGCTTGCAAAGCTGTGCTCACTAAATACAGTCTGTGAAGGATGGCTGCTTTTTACTTTGGATTTATGCAAATAGGTAAAAGATATTGTTTTCTCCCTGACCTTTCAGGAATCATTTCCATTTAGTTTATTTCCTTCTTTACAACTTTCATTTGCTTTTAATGCCTTTTACACTCATCCCTTAAGGTGGCACATTTCATTTGTAAAGTTTTAGCCACGAGAAATAATCCACATGAAACTTCTGTCTTGATTTGGGTTTTCTTTACCTTAGGGAAAAAAGAAACTAACTACTATTTTTTCATGGCTGCCAATGGGTCTTATTTTTTAACATTTCAGTGGCATTCAACAGATCTCTACTGTTCTCTGACAAGTATTCTTTTACATAGGTACTGAAAGTAACTCTCTAGTGTCCACTTTTATTTTGTTTTAAAAATGCCTCATTAGACTGCACAGCATATGCCTTATGTATCTCTTGGTGCTCTTCCAGCCCATTCTTTTCTCTCTCAAAATTTCCCACATAATGGTTAGCTATTTTACTTCTCTACGCAGGGCTTTTATTTCCTGGATTAGTTCCTGCAATAACAAGCTTTTTGCTTCTCCTTTCTGCATTTTTTATTTAGCACTATTCGTTGGCGTTCCTTTTCCACCCAGTCTCCCTCAGTACCTGTCTGGGAAATCCATAAGATTTGCCCTTAGATTTAACCTACTCCTCTGGTGCCCTGGAAACCACCTCAGATTTAAAGCCTTCCAATGCCATTGCTAAACTGATGGTTTGTGATCCTTGACAGTAAAGCGACTCGTATAATAAACTGTATGTTACTTGCTCAAGATGAATGGATCCGATCTGAGTCCCAGCACCACTATGTTGGGGTTGCCTCTGAGACATCTTCCATTCAGTTCCCCCAGAACTCAGTTTGACTCTGGTCTTGACGCTTAGGTTCCTTTATTTGACATACAGAAAAGCTTCGCTGAGTTGATTAGACTTAAACGTAGAGGGTGGGTACAGGGTATACCACACAACCAAAGTTACACAGAAGCCCCCTTCCTTTATATACCTTTACACATTACATTGCATCAAATGTTTTGGGATTGGCTTGGTCACTTTGCTGGAACCAATCCCTGTACCGCATGCTCTGTCCATTCACTGTCCATATACAACTCATTCTTTACTTCATCTTTATGTTCCCGACTTATTGTATTCATTGTTATCTTGTCCACTGTAAATGGCTCCCTGAGTGTTCCTCCCCTATCTTAGCTGGTAAAGACATTCTGCTTCCATTCCAACCTGCTGATCGATTTACCTGCCTAATGCTGTCTCCCAAGAAATGAGGCCTCACCCTTGTCCAATTACTCGTGTCAAGCCAAGCCTACATACCTGAATTCAGGGGGTTTTTGCTTGGAGCATTTTTCCTTTGAAGCACAGCTATCATGTATACTTCTGCATTGAAATATTTTTGTTTTTATTTTTAATTGCAGTGCAGTTTACAAAACATTTCCTTGATTCTGTGCTGAAGAGAGGTCTCTTCTGATTGGTTTTCTGATTCAGTGAAACGGAGAAGTCACATATCCTTGCAGTTTGCTTCACAAGATCAAGGAAATGTTCAAAAGATGGGCGTGAGGATGGAGATGCTGTTTAATAACATATTTGTAAATTCCCTTCCAAAACTCTATTTCTCACTACTGTACTTTGTATTTTTAGTTACTTCCTCAGCACAGAAGATTTACCAAGACGACGACACTTATATAGGTATGTTTTTCAGTTCTTTCATAGAGATCATTTTCCAGTTATTCCTCTATGAATGAGATCATGACAGAAGATGGATTGTGCCCATCATTACTGACATTGTTTATTCTCTGATTGAAGCTAAGGAATAAACATGAGCATGTCACCAAATGGGAAAGAGGTTTGCAACCAAATTTGAAATGCTTGAAATTTGAGCATTTTCTCATTTCATTGCCCATTAGAAATTGGTCCCATTCTAAAGCAAATGGCACATTAAAATGGAAACATTTTCAAACAAAATTATTATGCACTGCAAAAAGTTGCATCATTGCATACATTTGTATTTTTCACAATCACGTTACTGTTTGTATGGAAATCTAACCAAACCACAGAAGTTCTGGTATTTGAAAATAGGCAGAACAAAATTGCTGAACATTTGTGAATGTTTTTCTGCAATTTCATGTGGCTCCAATATGTTCTCAGTAGTGGTGTAATAGGTAAATAATGGTTAGCTTACGTACATGGTATCTATATTACAGCTAATAAATATGTCGCTGTGTGAGAAGGAAACCGGAGTAAAGAACAAAAATTCCATCCTAGAAAATGCTTGTTTCAATTGCCAAGAGGCTTTAGGAATCCAGCCTTATTTTTTCTCATACAAGATTTCTAAGCACTGGAAAATGCACATTTATTAATTCTCACAACACCCTGGGCAGGAGGGAAGTATTATTATCCCCATTTTACAGATGAGGAAATAGAGGCACATACTGCAAGTTAAGTTTGTTGTATTCCTCTCTTTTAACATCCTTCCTTCATCCCATCTTGTGGTATTTTTTCCTGCCTTGGAAGCATCCACAAAGAAGGGAAGGGCTGTGCTAGCTTCATTTGATACGAGATTGTCAGTATATTTACATCCTGCAGTATGATGTTATGTTTTTTTCTCTCAAGCAGGGAAGGGACTACAACAAACTGAATTACCAGTCATTTAATTTTTTCCTTCATTCTTAAACCTCTGTATTTGCCCACTGCTGTCCACAGGGCTTTGTGAGAGGCTAGGGTATTTTCAGCATTTTTTAATTAAATAAATCATGCTGAGTCTGTTTGGGCCAGTCATTTGTATTGGAGTGAATAAAATTCAGTGTTAAAGCTCAATTCGGGGAGAATTCTTCACAGGAAACAGTGGCACAATTTACATTGCTTCCACCTTGCCATACCCCACTAGCCTTTAAAGGTGGCTCATGTAGTGAACTGACTTATGTAAGTTGTCATAGCCCCATTGAAGTCAATAGAGCTATGACAGTTTATATCGGCTGAGGATCTGGCTCTCAGTTTTTAAATTCAGAGTTAGTGAGTCACACGGGGATTCCTCTCCTGAAGAAAAGTGTGAGCTGGAGAGAACACAGGAACGGGAGCCGGCGACAACTGTGTGGTGATCCTAGCTCTGCCACTGATCGCTCCTGTGGTCTTGAGCAAGCCACACAGCTGCTCTGCTTCAGCTTTGCTATCCGTGAAATGGAGTAATAATCTTGACGTGCCTCACAGAGGTGTTCTAAGGATCAGTTAGGTAATGTTTGTAAAGCATTTTGAAGTTGAAAAGTGCTATAGATGTGCTAAGTATTATTTATTATTTGTTAATAAATGGTAATTTAGTCTTTAACCAGCATAGTGCTCTTGAGCACACACACATGCCAAATTGTGTACTTCAAAAACAAAGCAGGCAAAACATGATCTTTTCTTTCTACCTGGATGTTGTGGTTAACACTCCATGACCCACTCTTTGAATGCCAAGGGAGAGGATTGTCTATGAGGTAGCCACTAGCAAGTCAGAAAAACTGCCTTTTAAAGACAAGATCTCTAGTTCTCCTTTGTCTGCAATAAACGTCATCTAACATAGAAATAATCCCTAGTTTCATGTCTATTCCCTGAATTAATACATGTTCCGTTTATATTGAAAGTTCAGTTGCATCCATTATTTTCTGGAAAGCTGTAGCATCTAACATAACTACCTGCCATGCACAAAAGCCATCAATACCCTTTAATATCTTTTCAGTTCTGGCAACCGCCCCTTCCCCTCTCCCCCCCCCAACAATTTAGCAATTTAGAATGCCTCGTCTCTTAGTATAGTTGAGAAAGTTATGTTCCTTTTTTCTGGTGCAATGAAGTTTAAAAAATGTAGCTTCAAAATAACCCTCGCTCAATTGACCTTCATGTACTTGTATTAACTTTTTCAGTGCAAACACAAATGGAAACTTCAACAGGCAGTGTCTGTCCTGTGATTTGATTGAAAACTGTACTTATTTCAGTGCGTCATTCAGTCACAACATGGAGTACTTCTTACTGACCTGTGAAGGTAAGTTTCTTTTATTATTAAGGATAGATTTTAGAGCAGGCAATAACCAAGCTCAGTATATACCTTCGAACTGTGACTAGCAGCACAAAAGTCTGTTGCCTTCATAAAATCCATTTTGCTTGATGATTTAAAAAACACATTTTAAGGGGGACAAAGGTCTTAATCCTAACTGAGGGCAATGGTTCTCTCTAATTCAGGCTTTAGTGATTTCCTTGATCCATTGTAGTGTGTTATATTGTGACATTATGAATTTAGTGACTGTGGGTAAAATTTCCAGAAGTGCCTTGGGCACTTAAGAGCCTAAATTCCATTGCTTTTCAATAGATTTAGGCTCCTGATTTCAATGGTAGTTAGGCACCTAACCTGCTTAAGAGCTTTTGAAAAGCCCACTAAAAGCCTCTCTGCATCTTGATGCCCCTAATTACCTTTGAAAATCTGGCCTTAAATGCTCAAGTTACTTTTAAAAATGGGGCTTAGGCTCCTACATCACATATGTGCTTTTGAAATTTTACCTGGTATGTCCATGTTTTAACACAGACTTTTGAGTATTATTATCAAACATAGGTGTATATAGCACTGCAGTTGTGTATGGGGGATTTTCATGGTGAGTAAAGACAGCACACAAAACAGGATGCTGGGGGAGGTAACTAAAGGAAGAGGGTTGGGTTATGGAGTTGCCTGGTGGTACAGTATACATCCTGGTGAAGTAGTTGCACTGAACAAGTTATTTTATTTTGAAAGATTCTTTCAGTTTCAAATTCCTTGTACTTAAAATGGGAATACACCTGAACCAATAATCTCAACACAGAGGTAACTTTAACTGTCACTATTGGTCCAAGTTTTCTGTCCTTTTTTAGATAATTATATTTTTAAAGAAAATTGTTATCTGGGGATTGTGGGAAAAGATGGGTAGGAGGGATTTGAAGAAGTGGGGAGGTGGATTGGCCTACAGAATCAGAGCATTGAAGAGATTGGGAGAAGGGTGTCACAGTTGTGTTTGACTTTAATAATGTTCTGTGTACTCAATACCGTTGAATTACCTTTTTAAAGACATATTAGGAATAAATGCAGAACTCTACAACTTTCTAATGCAGTCATCACTTAGTTCTACCACATTACATATAAACGTAGGGCCAGATTGCAGGGCCCTTACTCACCTTGGTGAGCAATTACTTACACCAGTAATCCCACTGAAGTGAATGGGGCTGCTTAAGTGAGTAAGGGCTCACCAAAATGAGGAAGGACTTCACGATCTCTTTACTGTGGTTGCAGAGTAAAAAGGGTTCTTAATTCTGAGGAGTTTGTAATCCTATAGTAAACATGCAAGGACTAAGGGCCTGGTTTGCAAAACTTCAGGCATCAATGACCATCCTGGTACATGCAAATAGTGTGTGTGTGTGTGTGTGTGTGTGTGTGTGTGTGTAAAAAGTACCTTATTTTTTTTTAATGTCAGCAAGCTGTCAGTCAGGATGTGAATTGCTCCTTGTCTAACTGTAAAGCGCTTCTTGTGAGCCAAGAATTGTCATGTTACAATCAACTCCAAGGACAAAGAAGTATTGAGGATGCTACATGAGGAAATAACCAGAAGCAATGTGATGAAACTGAGAAAGGGAACAGTTAGAATGAATAACAGGCAAAACTTACTGAGAGATATGTAAGGCTATGGAGTATTCTACCCAGGGAAGTGGTATAGGCCCCATCATTTGGGACAGTTGTCATAGGAGACTAGATTAAACATTAGAAAATACCCTGTAGGGAGCATCTCTGCACTGTCGGTGTGGTGAACTAAGTGGCCTCAGGGATAATTTCCACTTGTAATTTCTGTGAATCTATAACAATGGAAGATTTTTACACTGGAGTATAATTGACTGGAAAACGTACAGTAGTACAGTAAATACCATGTTGATCAGGTTTGCCTTTTGACAAGGAAAGCTGTGTACGTTTTTTTTAAAGTGTCAGTTTCAAGACAAGCTGTCAGTAATTGCTGATAACATTGCCCATTTTCCCTTTTTATAGAGGATAAATGTTTTAATACAATTAGAAGCACATGTGAATAGCAAGATTATGGTTCTTATCAAACCCTAAGTGTTGATAAGTTCCTATTGCATTAGAGCCAATCTACAATAAGGCTGCTGTAATTCTTTGAGAGATTTATATAATTTATTAGAATATATGTCCCTACAGTAATAAATTACCCAAGTACAAAAGATCATCACTTTCAACTAAACAGCTCTGGACCAGCTCCACAGCTAGTGTAAGTCAGCATAAGTCTATTTACTTCAATGGAGTTGTGCTGATTGACACCCACTGAGCATCTGTCCCTCTGTGTTCTAATTGTACAGTACTATGTTCTCAAAATGTAATCCCAGTTTAAATGCAAAAGTCAACCCTTAACAATGGGATCGCCACTGACATCTCCATAATGAGATAAGCTGGGAAGATATATGCATATAAGAAAAGACAGGGGTCCCGATTTGGCTTTCCCATACATTTGGTTTTAGATCAATGTCATTCCGCTGACGTCAGTGGAGTTACTCCTGATTCACGCTACTGGAAGTGAAAGGCATATCAGGCCCTTTATTTTCAACGAGCGTACAAGGAAAACATCGTTTTGCAGCAGGTATGGGCAAAATATCAACAATGAGGCTTTGAGCTGTCTAAGATATGCTGAATATGTGGAGGCATTTCATAATTTAAGCTTTTTCTTTTGCAACGTATCCATTTACATTACGCTTCATATTAAGTGGCACAGAGAGCTTGCTGGTCTTTATTTGCCTTTTACTCACAGTGGTGAAAATCAAAAGTAACTCCCTCAGAAGTCAGTGGAACAATACTAGTGTAAAACTGGTGTAAGTTAGAGGAGAATCTAGCCTGTTCTGTTCTATGAGTTTGAATAATATGAGAATTCTTTTTTTCATGGTGCTTTGTCGTGCTTAGCATGAATCTGGTCCCGCTTCGGTATCCAAAATGTTTTTTTTATTGCTGCTGGATAGCTCAGATCCAGGGGTTTTGGAAGGAACTTCCTGATAAGTAAGTAGCCATACCTCCCTGTGTGTCCACATATAAACATAGCCCACACAGACATAAAACTACTTAAATGAGCATGTTGGAGGAGTACTGCCTTTCCCCTCGTAGAGAGCTTTGAGGTTGACTCTGCAGCCAGCCACTTTTGAAGAAGAGTGTAAGCGTCTTTCTAATGTCTTTGCCTATCTACGCTTTCCAAGCTCCAGACATTTCGATGTTCCAGTTCTCGAGTCTAGATTACGCGAGTCACAATATGTTGCACCTGTCTACATCTGTCCGTGACTAGTGATCAGTGGCACTACAGCGCTAGGGCCATTAAAAGTCCAGTCGGAGGCATCAGGGCTAAGGCAGGCTCCCTGCCTGCCCTGGCTCCACACAGCTCCCAGAAACGGATGGCACATTCCTGCAGCCCCTGGGCACAGAGGCGATAAGGGGGGCTCCGCGCACTGCTCCCTCCCCCAGTGCTGGCTTTGCAGCTCCCATTGGCCAGGAACCGTGGCCAATGGGAGCTGCGGGGGCAGCACCTGCGGGGAGGGGTAACGCACAGAGCCCCTGGCTCTTGCACCTAGGAGTCGAACATGCTGGCTGCTTCGGGGAGTCACGCACAGCCAGGGCAGGAAGACCCTGCCATAGCCCCGCTGCGCCGCTGACCAGGAGCCACATGAGGTAAGCGACGCCTAGCTGGAGCCCACATCCCGAACTGTCTCCCACACCCAAACCCCCTGCCCCAGGTTGGAACCCTCTCCCAGAGCCCGTATCCCACACCTCCAGCCCTCTGCCATACCCAAAGTCCCTCCCAGAGCCCACCCCCCCTCCTGCACCCACCCACCCCCCCAGGTCGGAACACCTTCCTGCACTCCCGGAGCCCGTACCCCCTCCCACACCTCAACCCCAGCCCTGAGCCCCCCTCCACACCCAAACTCCCTCCCCGAGCCCACACCTCGCACCCTTTCCTGCACCCCAACCACCTGCCCCAGCTCTGAGCCCCTCTTGAACCCCAAATCCCTCATCCCCAGATCCACTATGAGCCAACATCCCCAGCCAGAGCCCACACCCTCTCCTGCTCCCCAACCCCTGCCTCAGCTCTGTGTCCGCTCCCACACTCTGAACCCCTCAGCTCCAGCCCAGAGCCCCCTCCTTCATTGAAACCCCTGATCCCCAGCCCCACCCCAGAGCCTTCTCGGAGTGGTGTGGCGTGGGGCCAGGGCAGGCAGGTAGGGAGGCTGCCCTGGCTCTGGTGCGCACTGCTGCCACCCGGAGCCGCTTTAGGTACCCCAACTCCCTGCCCTGAGCCCCCTGTCGCACCCTGCACCCCTCCTGCACCCCAACCCTCTTCCCTGAGCCCCCTCATACACTCCGCATCCCTCCTCTGCCCCAGTCCCTTGCCCTGAGCCCATTCCTGCACACTGCACCCCCTCCTACACCCCGCACTTCCTCCCACACCCCAACCCCCTGCCCCGCACCTGCATACAATTTCCCCTCCCAGATGTGGCCCTCGGCCCAAAAAGTTTGCCCACCCCTGATCTACACAAAGACTGAGGTTGGCTTGACAGTGCTGCTCCTGGGATGTGGATTTTTCACACCCCTGACTGACATAGTTAAACTGACCTAATTTTCTAGTGTAGACCAGGCCTCAGTCACACTCTCTGACCCCTGTAATGTGAACACACAAATGGTATGGATGGGAGGGGGGTTAATTGCATTTAAATTTCTCATTGTGATGATGGTATTTTCTCCTCTAGAATGTGCTGTGAAAACTCAACAGTTGTATAAAGAGGGGAAAGTGCTTGTGTACAGTGAAGAAAATGAAAGGCATAAAAATGACAAGGCTTGGCTAAAGAAAGCAAGTTACTTTTGGTCTCTGTAATGGGCTCCATCCTGCAAAGTGCTGAGCCGTCTGACCCCAATCCAGGAGAGCACTTAAGCACATGCTTTACTTTACTCTCATGAATAGTCCCATGAACCTTGCAGCATCA